TTTTACTTTGATTCAAATTTGAAAATATTAAGACGAATAGTTTGTTTGTTTAAAGAACAATGCTGCTAAGACTATCCGCTGCCGTTCCTAATTTTTGAACTGCCAACCAAAGGGAAGGCAACCATCCGGCAGCAACCACCACCAATTCTTGGGCTACTACTTACCAACAAACATTTGGATTTACTGTCACGTTATAACATCCCCATGGCTAAAAGGTCTATCCTATATGGCGTTGGATTTCGATCCCTTGACCAGCACGCCATGTCAGGATAAGACGTTTTAAAATATTATTTCGGGTTGGGGTATTATTATTTTGTGTATTTTTATACACTTACTTTTTGTGTGAGCAGTTGAAGCACTTTGAAATGTAAAAATAAGATTTTGAAATAAAATAATAACATTGCAGTCACATGAAACAACAAAACATGAAACTATTTTCAAGAAATCAAATACAATAAAATGATACTATGATATGGTTTTCACTCACTGACTTTGTTTTGAGTTTCTTGCAAATTTACTTGTCCCTAACTTTTAAGTAATAGACTTGAGGGAGGACAGCTCGTCAACACTACCCACCACTAACTCTTGGACTATTCATTACCAACGTAAAGTGGGGTTGACCGTCATTTATAACGTTCCAGTGGCTGAAAGGGCAAACTTGTTCAGGGATAGGAACAGAACTCACGGCCCTCACCAGAATATGCGAAGTTTTTTCTTTTTACAAAAACAAGATCAACCTGACCATTTAACCAAAAATGTGTATACAAAGTCCTGCTGGTGAAACAGAAGTATTTAGATTAACCCTATTGTTTTTTGTTTTTTTTACTTATGATTATAGTACATTAAATAAATTTTATTTAATTAAATAATGCACCAAAGAACATAGAACAACAATATGCAAATATCAGACAATTTCCCATAACTAACTATCAAAAATTTTCTGGCTTTCTAACTGTGCGACAAGAGCCGTTACAAGCTAGTCGTTAACGTTCCCATTGGAATAAACCGTGTATTATAAGTGAAATTGACATTTATCTGTTGAGAACACAACGTTATATAATACGTGATTTGATAGATGCAAACATTGACTTTCTGTTGGTTATAGATGATATATAATTATACCTAAGAGAGAACTATTAACAAATCCTGAAAGAGAGGATCTGACGGGTGGGTGTGGCAGGAGGGGTCTGGTTTTCTATTTGATAGCTCTATAACAAAACCCAATTGAAGGCTATAAAAATTATGGTTTGTCTGAGCAATGACGATTTCATAGTGAGTAATTTACGTTTAATTTCGTATTTACTGGAGGGGTGGTGGATAAAATAGAGAAGAGAAGATACCTAGAGAAAATATATTGTTACGTCTCCGTTCGTTAGTTAATTTTCCGTAAATTCGTTCCGACGAAACTTTAGCGACTTAAGACCTTTCTTAAATAAAACTGGTTTATTCTTTCTGAATATAACTTTGCGATACACTTAATTTCAACAGTC